ATTTTACCTTTTCGACATTTATTTCCCTTATTGCTGTGGTTTTGAGATCATGGGGTGGGGCAATGGGTTGCCATGAGATTGATGGTTGGGGGTATGCACACCGAAAATTTCATGTTTTATTCCACTTGTCCACATTATGTTGTATGTGGACAATCGTACCTAATTTTATAGACATACAATAAAAATAAAAATAATTGATCCAAAAAAACTGTTTTAATTGGATTTCATGTAAATCCATACATCTGGTCAACACCCACTTCTGTTTGGTAGGATCTCGGGATAAATTGTACAAAAGTACAACAAATGGAACAGAGCATCACAAGCTAGGATCAGCTGTAGAGGGCAGCAGAGAGGAGCTAGTGTCCACCAAGACCACAGAACTGACAGCAGAGCCTGTGCAAATCTAAGCAAAGCTTGGCTGATCGTATGAGGGCCAAATCCAATAATTGTTGCTTCCAGCAATTCTAAATCAGACCAATCCTAACTAACAGAATTAACTGCCTGGTTAAACCAACCATAGTTGGCACTTTTCAACTTCTACAGAACTCTGTTGAGAGAAGATCGAGCACCTTCCTCCTTCCTGAAGTCAATTTCTGACCTCAAACCTCAAACCCTTACCTCAGAGAAAACCTTCTGAAAAATGCATTCGGTGTAAGGTACAGGAGCATTCAGAGATCCTGAGTCTTCTCTGAATCGTAACAACAGTCATCCTTCTTTCACAGGAGAAAATCACTGCAGCTTTGGTTTTCTGTGAAAACCACAGAGCGGCATCAGGGTCCAAAGGATTCTCATGATGTTGTCGAGTCTTCAATGCTACGTAGAATAACAAATGGAGATAAAGTGTCATATCTATTACATTTTAATTTGTCCCTTGATGGAATTGTTCCCTCCTTGTCTTCCCCTTTTGTTTTCATGAAGCATCAGAGAGAACGCTACACATCCAAGTGTTTGCCGTAAACAAAGGTGGGGCAGGTTGGATCCCACTTTGTTTATTTTTGTAGTTTCCTCTTTATGGCGTTGTTCTTTGTGCATGTGTATGTCATAAAACAGGCTTGAAGGGTGATATCTCCAGGTTCATGCAGAAAACAGATCATAAGGCCTGAGAGACTTAAGTAATTTTGTGTGTTGACTTAATAATGATTGTAAGAAATAAACCTTTGTGTTTTAATGTACTGGTGTGCTCCGGATAGGCTGGAGGTCTCCTATTTCTCAGTGAAACTCGACTCTCAGGTGGTGGAGTCTGATGGCTAACCTCCTGCTGGTCTTCATCTGGAACAGGTGTGTGTGAAGATTTTCTTCAGGTAATGTCTCATGTGGAACAGCAGATGTTTCAGTTGCTCCAGGAGTGTGTGAAAGGTGGTAGCGATTCCTTCTCAGCAGGCCTCTGGGTGTCTCGATAGTGTGGCCCTGCTCTAGACACTACTGGTCTTCCACTGGTTTTCAGGTCTGTCACCACACCTTCTCACCTGGATGTAGGAGTGGCATGTTGCGGACCTACAACTGGAGACAACTGGTGTTGTCTCTAGTTGTAGTTTTGTCTTTGTTTCTGCCTGTAGTTGTTTTCTGCAGTCCATATCAATATTCTTTGGCATTAACTGCGACTGAGTAACAGGGACAGTTGTCCTTATCCTCCTTCCCATGAGAAGTTCAGTTGGACTGAATCCATTTGCCAATGCAGCAGAACGGTAGGCCATAAGAGCAAGATATGGATCTCCCCCCTTTTTAAGGAGAGTCTTGATAGTTCTGACAGCTCTCTCAGCCTCCCCGTTGCTCTGAGGAAAATTTGGGCTGGATGTTTCATGACTGAAACACCATTATTGTGCAAATCGTTTGAAGGAATCCGAAGCAAACTGTGGCCCATTATCAGAGCGGAGATGCTCTGGTATGCCATAGCGTGCAAAGATGGACTTACAGTGTTCAATCAGCCCCTCAGATGTTGTGGATGTAAGCTTTGCAACTTCAAAGTATCTGGAGAAATAATCCACAATTATCAAATATTGTTTGTCCATCAACTGGAAAAGATCAGCTCTCACCATGGCCCATGGTCTTCAAGGAAAGTCAGAGGGCAGTAGTGACTTTGTGTTTATTTCTCTCCCGGCAACACGTGTCAAAGGTCTCCAACAGCTTAGTCAGCTCGCTGCTGAGCCCTGGCCAGCACACTGAATGTCTGGCCCTCTCTCTACATTTAGTTATCCCCAAGTGACCCTCATGTGGCTTCAATAGAATGTCTTTTCTGAGAGAAGCTGGAATCACTATTCTGCTACCATAAAGAAGCAGGCCATGTGGAACAGTAAGTTCACATGAAAATGGCAGATAAGGCTGGAAACCCTTCTCAATAGAGCATTTATCTGGCCATTCTTTTTACACAGAACTTTTTCAGCTGTTTGAGTATGCTGTCTTCATCCTGATGTCTTTGGATTTCCCTCAGTCGTGGTTCCATGGCAGGTGAACATGCAACGACTGAGTCAACATACAAGTTGACCTTCTCTTCTTGCAGTCCTCCTGACTCATTGAGAATTGGAGCTCTGGACAACACATCAGCTGTAGCAATATTTTTGCCAGCCACATGTGAAACACTGGGAAGTCTGGACCTCCTGCTGCTACCCCTGCAACCCGACGCCAGAGAAGGAGAAGAAGGAAGGATGCATGTATTAACTATGTTTTTCCAATGAGTGGATCTGGATCCTATTAGAGTGCCTTGGGATTAACTTGTCCATAGGGAAAAAAAATGATTATATATATATATATAATATTGGAATTAAACTGAAGTTAATACATTATTATATCAGTATTTGTTAAGTTAAGCTAGCTGTATTTTGGGCTAATTTCAAACATTTGATAGCTCACACCCATCATATTTGCATTTTATTTCAGTAGACAGATGTGAAAGTGTGTGGGTATCATTTTCAAGCAGTGAAGCCTATTTCTAGCTGGCCACTATGTTAGGCAGCCCAGATTAGCAGTGACAGCTCACCTGTGGTGCAAAGGGCAGCATTGGCCTGAAGGCAGCAAGAGGTGGGAAGAGTAAGAGAGGAAAAGAAGGGTGGGCTAGAAGGGGAGCAGCTAAAACCCAGCATGACTCACAGACATGCATAGAGATTGTGCATGTGTGTGATCACATTACTTAATGCACTGTGCAGGTGGGGGACAGAGGTGGCGAAGGTGTTACCTACTGCAGACAACAAGTATCTCTTGAGATGAAAGACGGTAAAGAAGCAGAGATTATGGGGTTGGCAGAAGGGAAGAGTATTTCTTATAGGCTAAGGAGAACAAAGCTCCTAGAATGTTTGTTTAGTGACATCTACAATCTACATTCCTTGCTCTAACACTTATAAAATATATGAGGAACAAAAGCTTTGTAGTGATGGTTCTGGTAAATGAGTTTGCATTTCTACATTTAAACAAGGCAATGATTCTTTTACTGGGGTTGAACTACGATTGGTGACTGTTAAAATTCAAGTGCAGGAATTTATTACAGTAGCCATGATTAAGCTTCTATAGCAAAGAAGCAATTCATAAACTTTTTGAGTTTCTTAAAATTGATAACAGTAAAATTGTTAGATATCCTAATGGTAGTTATTATTTGTATTCAATTTCTATCTATATATATATATATATATATATATATATATATATATATATATATATATATATATATAAATATTCATCCCTTCATTCAACAAAATGCATAAAATGTTTCTTTTACAGTTCAATCTCAATCAAATAGATCTTGATTTCTGTTTTACAAAATAATTCATTTAAGGTCAAATTAATATTTAATTTCTACAAAATAATAATGAAATCTAAATATGAAACATGAAATTAGTTCACCTCCATCCATCCATCCATTTTCTGGTCACCCTTCTCCCTAACGGGGTCGGGAGGTGCTGGTTCCTCTCCAGCTGTGTTCCGGGCGAGAGGCGGGGTCACCTGGACAGGTCACCAGTCTGTCGCAGGGCAACACAGAGACAGACCAGACAAACAACTAGGCACACACACCAAATATTCACCTCCTAGTCAGTATTTAGAAGATGCTCTTCTGGCTTCAATCTCAGCCTGGTGTCTGTGTGAATAGTTCTCAATAATCTGGATTCTACCTTTTTATTCTACTCTTTGTATGTCTGTCAGGTTGTCTGAGGTCTTTCTGCACGGAGTTTGCATGTTCTGCGTGTGTGGGTTCTCTCCGGGTTCTCCGGCTTCCTCCCAAAGTCCAAAAACATGACTGTCAGGTTAATTGATCTCTCTAAATTCTCCCTCGGTGTGTGTGTGTGTGTGTGTGTGCATGGTTGTTTGTCCTGTTTGTCTCTGTGTTGCCCTGCGACAGACTGGTGACCTGTCCAGGGTGAACCCCGCCTCTCGCCCGGAACGCAGCTGGAGATAGGTGGAGAAAATGGATGGATGGATGGAATAGCCTTTATTCTGATGTGCTTGGAGCTGATTCATTTTCATGCTAACTATAAAGAACAGCATTCTTTAGTTAGCCAGGAATACTGATTCATCTTCCAGACACAGATGTCTTTCTACTACATCCACCTGAAATACAGTCATTCTTCCACTCATCCCATTGACAGACTCCTAGCACGCATCGTCTGGACCTCTGTTAGGTTGAACATTATGAAGAAGGTGAATTTGTATGCAGTCACTTATTTTATATTTTAAATATACATATTTCATTTGTCATTTTGTATGAGTCATTTTTAAATTTGATGTTAACAGTTCTTTTTGTAAATTTTTAGCAACAACACAAAGCAGGATTGATTTGAAAAAACTATTAATAACAGTAAAATGGCCCAGAGGTTAAATACTATTTAAATACTCTTTACTAAGGATTTTGCAGGAAACTGGAGACACTGGGTCCAAAACAACATGGAGAAAAGAGATAGGAGTGTGAGTTTGATAACACTGGGAGGAAGATGAAGAGGCTTCAAGAAGAGGAAATGGAAAAAGATTGTTGGAGGCAGGGCGAGTGACTAGGAGATAGTGGGGAACAGGAGAAGAGGCTCAGATCAAAATAGCTGTTTGTCCTGTCTGCTGGTTGGCAAGCAAGCAGTGATAATGAAGACTTCAGAGCACACAGATCGTCCAGCTCTGCTGGAGACCAGAGGCCAAGAGAATGAAGGAGAAAAAAACAGAGGTAGGAGGGTAATGATGAAACAAACTGGCTGCTTTTTGATACTTTGTGCTTTTCACTGCCAGCATGCAGCCTCTGTCTGCTCTGTGTCAGGTAATAAAACCCTGATAACAGAGAACAAGACTGAATCATCAGAATATTATTCTCACTGTGGTAGAAGGAATTGCAACATAAAACAGATCATTAAAGCTTCTTTGTAGGATTGATAAAATGATGAGTTCCCTCAAACCTGTTTTTCTGTAGTTGTACTAATGCAAGAGAAATGAATTACTTTCATGGAATTGTTTGTTTACAATATTATTGCTGTTCTTTGTATTTCCAGCTCTAACTGTTTATCTATATGGTGGTTCTTTTAAATCTTATCGCTACAACAACCAGGATATAACCACGTTTCCTTTGTCCATCTCATGCTTCTGCAAATCTTCCTGTGTTTTCTTGTTTAATTAGTTTTGATGTTAATTATTCAGTATCCCACTTTAATTTGTCACAGCTCATTCATTAACCTGATATGTTTACTATTTTATCTTTCAGTAATTTGTGTCTGTGTTGACAGACTGGCGACCTGTCAGGGTGAACCCCGCCTCTCACCCCGAACCTGAGAGGCGGGGTGAGAGGCACTAGCACCTCCCGACCCCGATAGGGACAAGGGCGAACAGGAAGTGGATGGATGGATCTTCCAGTATTTTCCTTTTGTCTTGTCAGTAGTTAGACTGGATGCCAGCAGTTAAAGAAAAAAGATTAATTGTGGAATAATTCAGCTGTAAAGCTTGGCTATTTTGTTAATACATTTTCAGATTTGACTAGAAATCAGTGTGTCAGTGATCATTCTTTGCTGTGTGAATAACTTCATCTGATTTCATTCCTTTACAAGAGACTGAGTCTGGCTTATGACTCCATGGTTGCCCTGATTACACTAAAGACTTTCAATTGTGATCATAACTTAACAATTTAACAACAAATTATTGATGATAATCAGTAATTACATTTGGTGTTTTAATCAGTTTATGAACTGCTTTGAGAACAATATTTTTGTCCTATGGTGCTGATTCTACATTTTACATTTGTGGCTCAACATTGATCACAATTTATCCAAAAGCTGCTCTAAAGATTTTGAAAAATTAGATCAGGAAAAAGCTGCAAGTAGTGGCATTTTACTCTGCTGAATAAAATGCCAGTGCAGGTAGTTCTGCACTGTAAAAAAATGCCCCAAATTTACTCAGTATAATTAAGGTAACACATTACAACCAATATTCAACCAGAAACTTTTTGCTGCAAGGCAACAGTGCCACCAGCTATGCCACAGTGCAACCTTAATTAAAATATATAAACATGGGGCGTGCTAACCCTGCGCCACCACAGCACGCCCCACGTTTGGAGGCCTCAGCCCTCGACGCGGGCGTTGCGGGTTCGACTCCCGGTCCCAGCGACCTTTGCATCATGTCTTCCCCCCCTCTCCTCGCCCTCTTTCCTGTCTGCCTGCGGTCAAAAATACGAGTCACTAGCGCTGCAAAAACTCTTCGGAGAAAAAAAATTATAAAAAAAATAAAAAATTATATATATATAATATATATATATATATATATATATATATATATATATATATATATATATATATATATATATATATATAACAATGCATTTCTTTTTTTTTTTCAAATCTAGCATTATCTAGGAACTGGTCAATTTATTTGCAATCTTTTTCAAATCTCAAGACATATACAGCTAAATGATCTTTATATACTTATTCTTTAAAACCCTCCAATTTGAAAATACTTAATGAAAGGATTGAAAATCAAATCATTCATTACTGCACTATTGTGTGTTTCCGATATAAAACACACAACACATAATTCAATCTGGAGAGACTCAGGCGGAGAAAGAGAGGCGATTAGAGGGGTTACTTAACGTGCATGATTTAGAGTCTTTGGCGCTCTGGCCCCAGCTGAGGACATCGAGCTGCGATTGCAATAAGCTTGGATGAGTGTTCCCGCTGCTGATAGGAACGTCCGTCCCCCCAAAAAGGGAGGCGAAGCCGGGGCCGAGGCTAGGGATTCGCCGTGGTGCGTACGATTAGAGTGACGCGGAAAGCCAGCGTGAAAGTTACGTAACGAGATATGGTGAAGTGGGATGGATAAAGGTCAGCCGGGGACGTACGTGAAGGGGATGATGAAAGCTGGTAGATGAAGGCCAGCTAGGGACATGCGCTGTGAGAGACGATAAAATGTTGCTGTAAGAAGGTCGGCCAAAGACGTTGTGTGCGAAGGGAGACCGAAGCTGGTAGATGAAGGCCAGCTAAAGACGTAATGGAGCTAGAGATGTGAAAACGCTGGTAGATGAAGGCCAGCTACGCGTATTGTGTGTGAAAGAGATAGGCGATGAGGCCAACTAGGTATGTTACGAGGCGGGGCGATGAAATGTTGATGGGTGAGACCGGACGGGGACGGTATGTGCGAGAAATGATGAAAAGCTGGCGGATGTAGGCCAGCTGGAGAAGTTACGGAGTGAGGGATGGGGAATGAGGGTGGAGAAAGCTAGCTAGAGAGGTACGTAGCAAGTGATGAAGACGATGCTGATAAAAGAAAGCCACCAGGGGACGTTATATCCAAAGGTATGATTAAATGCTGGTAGATGAAGGCCAGCTGGGGATGTTGCGTGCGAGGGGTGATGGAGAGCTGGTAGATGAAGTCAGCTGGGGATGTTACATAAAGGAGGGATGAAAAAGTTGATAGATGAAAGTCGGCTATGGGCGTTACGAGGCGAAGGACAATAACGAGCTGGTAGATGAAAGCCAGCTGGGGACGTTTCATGGCGAGGGATGATAAGAATGCCGGTGCTGGCCGGCTGGAGATGTACGGGGCGAAGGACTGCGAATCTGGCCGACAAGACCGGCGGAACTGATCGATGGGGCTTTACGTGAAAGTCAGAAGGTGAAGGCTAAGAGGTGATCATAAAGGGAGGAGACGAGGATATAAAAAGGGGATAGTAAATTTTTTAACATGAGCGGCAGTGAAGGGGGTTGCCATTAACAGTAACGGGGGCCAGAGCGAGAAAGAGAAAGAATAACAAAGAGAACAAAGAAACAAAACTCACAATTTGATGACGGGACTACGTGGGCATCTGCAGGGATCGTGACGGGATGAAATCTGGTAACGGGTATGCGGGACGGGGACAAAGAGAAGCATGACATTCACGGAAGATGGGCATGCGCTCGATAAGTTTGAACACCACCACCAGTGAATTGCGCAGTGCTTACCTAGGCACTGAGAGAACGTTGGGCTGAGAGGACAGAGGAGAGGTCTGGGCGCATATAGGAGACGAACGCTGAAGATGACCAACGACCAAGCTGCTGGAGCATCGAGGAGGGAATTCCCTGGGCAGCGGCGGAGGTGGCCGCCCCTATCCTGAAGGAGTGCCCTGAGAACTGATTGGGAGGGAGGCGGATAGCGGCTAAGAGAAGTCGGAGGTGTTTGATAAACCAGGCGGAAGTCATGGGAGAGCCTTCGGGAGTGAGAAATAATGCTTCGGAGGGGAAACTTAACTTGCGCCGTAAAAGCGCAAATTCGAACATGGCGAGAAAAGGGCAAAATGAACTGTGGTTACGGGCTATCACGACTGTGCAGGCGCCTATGGATTTAGAATGTTTTAGGGATAGGCAGTAGTAATCTGAATGAAACTGGAGATCTGGCGGGTAGAAAGATTATTAGGGGTAGTGAATTCCCCCAAACGAAGGAACCCGTAGAAAGCTAACAGAAATGAAGGACTGAGGCGCCGAAAGATCTGAAATTGAAGGCGAGAGAGAGCATCGGCGACAGCGTTAGAATAGCCTGGGACGTGACGGGCAGTTAAGACGAAGTTGTGAAGTACGGACTGCCAGGTGATGCGGCGTAGAAAAGGCATGATAGAGCTAGAAGAGGAACGGCCTTTGTTAATGGCATCGACAACGGCTGCATTGTCGCACATGGCGACGATGCGCTTGCGTTCCCACAAGCTGCCCCACAGGCAGCAGGCTGCTGCGATGGGGATAATTTCATAAAAGGCTGAGGACTCGGACTGCGGGAAGGAGGGGGGCCACCGTTCGGCAAACCACCTATCCTGGAAATAACCGCCGTAGCCCGCGGACGGGGCGGCGTCGGTGAAGAACTGGATGGAAGTGGCTGAGAGAGCGATGTCGTCATAAAAGAAAGAGATGCCATTCCAGCGGTTGAGCAGCTTAGACCAGAAAAGAAGATCAGAGCGGCAACCGGCATCCAGAGAGACCTGATCTAGTAGGGAAGGGACGGAATTTGCCAGGTCGAGCAGCCTGGAGATGAAGGAGCGCCCCTGGGGAATTATACGCATGGCGAAGTTAAGGTGACCGAGCAGGGATAGAAGCTGACGTTTGGAAAGTGTCAGGGAAGAAAGGTGGGCCTGAGCTGTCTCGCGAATGCGAGCTAATTTGCTGGCCGGTAGAGAAGCCAACATCTTCTCAGAGTCCAAGGAGATGCCGAGAAATTCTATCGTGGTGGACAGACCGGCAGTTTTCTCCTCGGAGAGGGGGACACCGACCTGCTCGAAAAGGTCTTTTAACTTCTGGAGCGAGCGGGGGGGTTGGGAGGGCGGGTCAATAAGGAGGAAATCGTCAAGGAGGTGAAGCACGGAGGGAAGCTTGGTGACGTTAAGGAGAATCCAGCAAAGCGCTTCGGACAGCATGTTAAAGAGAGCGGGACTACTCCTACACCCAAAAGTCAGGCGCACAAAGAAATAAAATTTAGCGTCTCATTTAGCGCCTTGCAGGTGCCACTGGGAGGGATGCACCGGCATGATCTTAAAAGCATCTGAAACGTCGGCTTTGGCCAACTGGGCGCCACGTCCAGTGCGTTTAATAAGTGAGATTGCATGATCCACCGTGGCGTGAAAAAGGTAGAAAGGAGGCTTCGGGATGAGACTATTAATGCTGGATTAGGGGCCGGAATGGGGAGCGGAGAGATCCAAGATGAGGCGCTTCTTGCCCGAGTACTTCCGAGTAGAAACGCCCAGGGGACTAACGCGAAAAATGGAGAACAGGGGGGAGTCGAAAGGGCCGATGACGTGACCCTTAGACAGCTCCTTAGAGAGCAGCTCAGAGACGATGTCTGGCTCGCAGAGGGCTGACTGAAGATTGGGAAGGACAAGGGGTGGGGAACACCTACTAGGAAACCTTGGGAGAGACCGGAGATCAAAAAAATAACGAAGGTGCGATCCGGGTGCCGTAGGAGGAGGGAAGCCAATACGGCGGTGCGGACGGGAGTGCGAAGGTGAAGGGATACTAGTTTCTGAAATCCCGTTTGCCTCTGCCTGGGAACGGACGGCTGGGACAGACGGACTTTGGATGTGCGTCCCTGCAGAGACTACAGACGTGAAGGAAGGCACAGTTAGGGAATGCACAGACGCTTTCGTTGAAATTATTGCAAATGGGCATATTATTAAATACCTTCACGTCCCGCCCGTGGCGGTCGCGGGAGGCATGAGGGGCCTGAGCGATAAGAGGGGCTGAGGGGGAGCGGTAGTGGTAGGGGTGGGCCTGAAAGGGATTGATGGGCAGAAAACACTCTGGTGGCCGATAGAGCCGCACTGAAAACATGCAGTAGATTGGGTAAGCATGACCAAAATTTCCATGTCCAGAATGGACCAGTTGAGACAATGACCAGAACGGGCTAGGACAGCGGCGGCTTTGGAAGCGAAAGCTTTGTGATAATGATAGAATAAAGACCGGCCATATTGCATGTGCAGATCGGCAATTAACGCCAGATATGCGTCAAGTTCGACACTGCGTTCAGGGTAGACACTAC